AAAAAAAAAAAAAAAGCTCAAATAACCAAACGAATAAATCCCCTGGATCTGTGTATATATTTATAACCACTCTAAATGCTTATAACTTGTCATAATTCTTTCCATTTCATATGTTTATATAACTCAAAGCTTTAAAGTTTGTTCTTTTATTGGTTACTGCATACTTACTTCCAATTCCCCTTAAAATTGAAGACTATTTGTTGTTTGTACTTTGATTTGTCGAAAAATTATTTTAATCGATGTTATGAGGATTAATTTACCAAGTGCACAAAAAAATACTGACTATTCCTACATTATTATATGATATATATTTATCCTACAGAAGTTTGGGAAAAATACTAAACACGAAAAGTAAAAATATATTTTTAAGATTAATCTTTTAAATTTTCAAGCATACAAATCCATTACATATTTTCACAATGTATCAGAAGTTAATAAGTGTACATTTCAATCTCCATGATGAATGAAAACTAAAAAAAATAGTCAAATTTGTATGGAAAAAAAAAAAAAAAGTTTTGTAAAGTTTTGTAATGCTCGGTGATATTAGCCATCATTCATTTCTCGTTGGAGAATGGATCCTGAAATTTTGCCTTTCATTTCTCGAGGCCAATTATTGGCAGTATGTCGGACGTATCCCGGGTCTGTTGGAGACGACGGTATATTTCTAGTTTGTGTACCAGTTGTTGATTTTCGCAGCACACCAACCCACTCCTCGAGTGCATCAATCTCGTCTCTATGGCGATCTGTACCTAAAGCTCGCGAGATATTGTACGAACGATCTCGATCGTGTTTCAGAATTCCCGGAGCTATACGGGTTGGCACGTTGTCATATTGACTTGAATCCGAGTATCTAATTTATAAATATCATATCAATAACATTGATATTTAACAAAATAGTAGTAATAATAATGATAATAAATATCAGAAACATTTCATGAAACTAAAAATAATAAAGAAGAAAACAATCGTTTCACCTTCCATGATTATTGTTGGAGTTATCATCCATGTGTCTTTCAATTGCCATAATTTTGACGCTAGGATTGATCATCTTTGGAAATGCAGCTTCATACTTATCACCACTGATTGGAAATCGCGGGGTATCAACTTCATCAGATGGTCGGATAATAAGCTTCGGTCCTTCATAAAAATTCCTCTCATTATTTGCTCCATCCAATTCCCTGTATCGATCAGCATTTTCCGAGTGACGTCTATTATTTTGAGCCTCTCTAAATTGCCTCTCAGCATCAATAAATTTAATATCTCCATCAGAACTATTGGTATATTCTGGCGAAACACCAACGTCAGACGTTGTCGGCCGATGTACTCTGTCCGATGACTGAATTCCATCATGATGATTTTTATGAGATAGTTTATCAAAACCTTCATTAATATTGCCACTTGTTGCATTTTCATGTAGACTCTGTATGCTTCCATCATTTTTCCCTATTTTTGCCTCCTTTTCCATCGATAATGTTGTCGTAGGCTTAGCTACATTTCCATAAATTTCGTAATATTTTTCTTTTTCATTTCTTTACATTTATTTACAATAGCACGGAAAGTTTGCAACATATATAAGGAGAAAAAAAGTTCAGTAGAAGTAACAAAAAAGATGAAAAAAAATATATCAATGAAGTTTAGCGGATGAGCAGAGTAATTCATATTAAACTAATAATACGTAATATTTGGATTGAGAAAATGCAGTGAACATATAAGCATGATTTGCATGTATAGACAAGTTTTATTACTACAAAAGCACATGAATAATTTTGATTTGAAAAAAAAAAAGAAAAAAAAAAGCAACAATAACAAATGAATAATACGTTGTACTCCTCAAAGTCTCAAAACTTGCCTGGTTCTTTGTAAGTTGGTGTGTCGTCATGTTGCCTCTTCTTCTTCCTCTGTTCCGGTGTAGTCATGAGTAAATCGGCTATGAATACTAGCGCAGTAACGAGGCACAAAGCGCCAAGTACAGCGGCATTATCTACTAAATCAGGTGGAACACTTTCAATTGATGCCAGCGAAAGTGCTCCGACAACACCAAAAAGAATAACTCCAAGTCCAAGAAGAAAAAGTTCCTTAACAAAATATAATCATAACGAATGGAGTTATTTTTTTATTTATTTTTTTTTGTTTTTACCCTCCGGTCATTATATAGAAAAATATTGAAATCATTTGTGTCATTTTTTTGCAAGTGGAGGAAATGAAGAGAAATTGAGAGAAGGCATGCACTGTTTGGCTCTAGGATAAGAAGGCCATTTGAGTTGATATATTTTATGTCACGCAGTGCAATAAATCAAGTTTACCGCACGCTGCTTCAAACTCGACTTCTGCACGGTGTGGCATTAAATATTATACATCACTCGGGTATAAACTTGGTTTTTAACTAAACGAAATGTGTGCCCTTGTACTCTAATGTACTATTTTAACGACTTTCCGAATTGCTTTATTGTTTTAAAATCCTATCTCATTTTAGTTGGTATTGTTCTTGGACATGTGCCCACTGCCCATCCCACTTGTTATGAGAAAATTACAAATTACAAATGACAAATTATTGTCAAAGCATAAAAAAATATGTGGATCAATGAGACGTGATAAAACCTTGTAACTCATTCGGTTGAATAAAGTAAACTCCCACAACTATATGAAATATCGATACTCTCTATAGAAAATCGCTATAATACTGTCTGCTAATGTGACTCATGGCGAAAAGGTGAGCAAAGCATTACGTCTATTGGCATTAAAAATATTATTCCCACTTTTTTCTTGCCTTGATTGTCAATGTCAGCGGGCGTTTCTCACGCTAGTATAATCTACTCCAAATGGTTTTTATCTTTCACTTTCTCTTTTGTTAGGTGAAGCAATACAATAATTTTTTTATATTAATATATAAATTAGCTAAAGAAAAAAACGAATTGAAAATTTTTATTCAATTTCATATTACCGTTTTTCTTCCATGAAGCTCCCCAGTTGCAGCAGCACATAATAGGCCCATTGTGATTATCACGTAACCACCGCACGTTACTGTCGCTAGAGCTGCACCTGTAACAGTGAAGAAACATGGGGTCGAGGACGTCAAAATCTCTTGCAATTTATTTATTTATTTGTTTAAAACACTTTGAATTAACTTGACTTCATTAAATTACCTACGCTACCCCACGTCACATTGTTCAAGAGTGTCCACTCTCGACTGTAATTCCGAAGATAGTGGAATACTCGTCTGCTCTCATCATCGGTCACACGAAGAGCCACAACAGCAGCAATGCAAAGAAGCTAAACAGATAATTTTTCTTCAAACTCGGATTGCATAAATGAATTAATAAATGAATCTCACTAGAATTTTCTATATTTAATTTTTCAACATGTCACTTACCACACTGATTATCCTTATAAATACTTTTCGATTAAGCATGATATCACGCTCTTCAGCATTCACATTCAACACTTGAGAATGATGATTTGCTCCAGCAATATTAGTCGATTTTTGAATTTTCAATTTCTTCCACCATGGGCGTCTTTCTGAAACTCAATGGAACTTTTTCTTAATTGAGAAAATTTCCCGATGCGATTTGCATAGACGAGAGACGGTCGCAGACTACTCGTAAGTGAATCATACAGGTGCTTGAGAGGCGCGTCCAAGCAGAGAAAAAGAAGAAAACCGAAGGAGAAGGAATAGGAATGCCTAGTTATGTTTGTCGACAGCAGATAGACACCAAGTGCGTATACATACTGAAGGGGTTTTTTATTGTAGACGCTATTGTGCGCCTGGATTGCCGCATACGCTTATTTGCCTTGTCAGGGACCAACCCGTTGTCACGTAATATACCTATATATGTATGTACTTGTTATTAAAAACAAAGACATTACCATAGATGAGAGCTCGCGTGGGATTAAAGTTGCTGTGATTAACTTGATGAAAAATTTTAATCAAAATTTTCATCCAAATATTTTGCCAATTAATAGATAATATAAAAATACTCTATTGAATAAATTCCTTCATTTATTCAAAAAGTTCACCTTAAACATTGTCAATTTTACGAATAAATTTTCGCATCATTGTTGTTAATTTTTCTTTCACCATAATGCTTCCCCCATGCAAAGAGCATTTGGCATTATTTTCTTGGAATTATTATTTGTGGCAAAAAATGTACGCTATGGCCCGGCCCGGCCGACCGTATTCATTTTCTCGGAACAAGAGACCCCAGGTGTTCGTCATCTATAGTTGTGGCTTTTTATCAGCACACTGACAGCGGCCTGAATTATGTTCTATGGCGTATTTTGGACAATTGAATGACCTCCACAGGGACAAATGACACTCCATCCTCTATAATCATGATTTTTTTCTTTGTTTTTAATTTTCCATTATTTTTGCGTTTCCATTAACTTGCGAAAAGTTTAACAAATGCGAAGCGTGAGTAGTTACGCAATATAATGAAATATATATATATACAGAGAGATTGGTAAATCTCACGTTCGTCAAAAATGCAATTTCACCCAACTTGTGCGTTATTAATGTATTATAACAGCACTTCTCTGTCATTTATTGTATACATGATTGTTGATGATGAAAAAAAGACAACAGTTTAAATTCTCAATAGAGTTGGAATGGTAACAAAAGACGACTATTTTATGAATTTTTTTTTTTTAGGAAACGATATTCATGGAATTATTATACCAAAATTCGAGACCATTTCAAAACTATCCCCACTACTGCTGACATCCTACAGGATTTTTATTGGTGGTTTGTGGGATACAGTTGGAATCTATTGGTTGTTCAGAAGACGACGGCAGCAGCCGTCACATGTACATGATATTTTAGTTTCGAAAGCGTCAGTCCTCTGGTAACTGTCCTCTGAGCTGTTTCATAGCTGACTTGTTGGAATAATTTTTCAAAATTCCCCCTCACAGATGCAACCATTTCTCATATCATCTCAGTGTTCTACTCTTGTTAGAGTTTAGTATTATAATAATATATCATTATAAGAGGCTATAAAAATTAAAAAATGAGTCATTCATTTCCACTACGCAACATGGATGCAGGTAATTAATCGTAATGTTTCTATTTATTTATTTTTATTAAATGATTTTCTCTGGATTTTTAAAATGGTATAGATAAACAACGGAATAGCAGATCGAAAGGCCTTTCTCACCAGCCTGTCAAACATTTTTCAACTGATGTGGATGCACAAATAGAGACAACCAAGCGAGTTCTTGAATTAGTGAATGAGTCGGGTTTATCAATAACCCAAGTGAATGGTCAAAGAAAATTGGGGCCACCTCCCAATTGGATTGGTCCACCTCCCAGCCCTAAATGTGAAGTTTTCGTCGGCAAACTTCCTCGTGATGTTGACGAATCTGAAATCTACCCAATCTTCCGACGGATTGGTGAAATTTATGAAATTCGCCTGATGATGGATTTTTCTGGAACAAATAGAGGCTACTGTTTTGTAATGTATACCAATGCCAGAGATGCACAAAGGGCAATTCAAGATCTCAATAGTTATGAGATTCGGAATGGAAGGAGAATCGGCGTTCTCGCCAGTGTCAACAATTGTCGACTCTGTGTTAGCCATTTGCCAAGACTTTTCAATACTGAGGCATTCATTAAGGTAATAATTTCATTTTTTTTCATTTTTTTTTTCATCTTTTCCAACTTTTTATAATCTTCAAATATTATTTCAGAAAATATTTGAAACAACAAGTGGAGTGGAAAAAGTGTCAGTTTATCGTCTTCCAGACGAACGCCCCAAAAATGCGCTTATTTTCTACAAAACCCACATTGACGCTGCAATGGCTCGACGTAGATTGGTACCAGAGCGTTCCAATTTTATTCATGGTGCAGAAATCACCGTCGACTGGGCACATCCAAATCTCTCTCCCGAAAACGTTGTAAGTCACCGGATAATCACAATCAGTGGATTTATTTCATTGTGTTTGCGACAATCACGTTGAAAACAATACTTTCAATCTGTATGGCAAAATAAGAACCAACGTGACCATGAACACGCGAACAATAACTTTGTCCCTCTTCTCACATCATAAAAATAGAACGTGGGGATTCTTTCTTCTTACGATTTTTTAATTTTTTTCATTTCGACTCATCACTTTTGTCATTTTATCATTGCTGATATTATTTTAAAAAAATGTTATTCTTGCACTATAATTTTCAATTAATTCATTAATATATGTGTACCTTCCATTTTTATGTACTTTAGTACGCCAAGTTTTCTTTTCAACTGAGTGCAATATTGCTCGTCTTACGATAGAAAAATCCCTCAGGTTTTTGTTATCTTCCCCTTTCTGCAATCATTGTATTTTATCACTTCCTACATGACTGAGCACGATGCAACATTTTTACTATAGTTTCTACTTGGCTATTCAAGAGAATTCTATTCAGTGCTAATTGTCTTATAAAAACGTTTTACTCTCATTCGATACAAGTTCAACTCAACTTGATTATTATAATTGGCAAGAGAATTCAAATAAATTCTTGAAAATGCCACTGCTAGCGCTGCTGGCATCTTCATTACATACATTGCTCAGTTGATCGTGTTTATAAAGCCCACTGTCACCCACTAATCTTCCAGTTGATCAGTTGATCTCACTGAATTCACATTTCAATACATTATTGTCTGCAACAGTGAGCGGTGAATTTCAATTTTAAAAAAACTATCAAGCTGAACTGCAACTGAAAATGTCTAAAGCCAATGAATTTAGTGATTATCGTAGTCCACTGGCTGCTCGTTATGCATCCATGGAGATGCGTTTCAACTTTAGTGATCAAAATAAATTTAGCACGTGGCGTCGATTATGGATTTTCCTCGCTAAAGCTGAAATGGTGCGTAATCGTTTTTTGTTTTTTGTTTTTGTTTTTTTTTTTTTTTCAATAATTAACAACTCATTTACACAATGAATCAATATTTAAATAACGATAATAAGAACATTAAATTACCACATGGTAAAATGAAGTGAAAAATATGACATATTCATTTACATTTTCAATGAAATGATGCAATTGAATTTGTTCCGCGGGTCATCCGTGTAGGTTATCTATTCTCTCTGTTTAGGTTATCATATAAGCACTTTTTCTCTCTCTCTCTTGAATTTTTAATCCCAACAATTTAATTTAGTTATAATAATAAAATGGCGTCGCAAACACGAGATCCACTGCTACTGATTGTTGAATGTTCATATATACATATACATTGTCGAAATTTCTTGTTTTTGCCACAATAAAGGTCGAAGAGTACGGTATAGTAGATAAGGACGGAAAAGTTAAAGTATGTAGAAGATTCATTGAGTTTGGAAAGAAGAATTATACAAGAGATGGAAGATTTTTCAAGGAAAAAATTCAACTTTCTGGTATCAACGACAATGAAACTATTTCTCCAGAGTTAGAAGAGTCATCGAGAATAAATATGAGTAGGAAAAAGTTAAATCTACGTCAGAAATCTTGTCACTTCTTCAGACTCAGTAATTCAGCCAACGAAGAACAACAAAACGGTTCTAGCTTGAATCAAAGGATAGTACAGCATTATTCTAACAATTCTCTATCGTGTAAAAATCATCAATTTATTGAAAATATTAAGACACAGGACATTAATGGAAATGTAAACAACTACATGTGCCCTAACAAAGTTGCAACAACTTGCGAAAAAATGTATCAATCAGCATCAGCACAGATTACTTGGATGCCTTTGCTATTTAATGCTGATAATTTTTTCTGCTCGCCAAATGATTTTCACCACCTCATTTCTCGAGATGTACAAATTAATTACGTAGGAAATAATCCAAGAAAGGAAACGTGTGAGAATAACGCTGTACGACAAGTTATGCAAAATATTCAAACCAATTGGCCTTTAAATCAAGAGTCAAAAAGGTTTAACAGAATTATTGAGACTATTCCACATAATATTCAGCAAGTAGCATATGATGATTCCATATGGGAAAAGAGAATGATTGCCTTGACGAATAATGACTTTTCCAAATTCAAACAGCCCAGACCTATTCTCAACAGATTGTCTTAATATTATAGTTGTACTCTTTTCTAAGTATTTCTTTTCTAAGTTTTTCCTCAATTTTTCAATCAAGCAATTGTTGAAGATTCTTTTTATATAGGCAATGCTTTGTAATTGAAAAGATATTCTATGAGATTTATTGAAAACATTTTTACTATTCAAGGAATATAGACATATTTTTAAAGCAATCAGGTAACAGAAAATAGTAGTATTGAATGATCAATCGAGGTTCATAGCTATTACATTGTTGAGATTTTTCATTGAGAATCATATTGCAGACGCAAAAACTGTAGCACTGATTAGTAAAAACAAAAACATTTTTTATTTCCGTAATAATAATAAAATCACTCTCTGTCTCTCTAAAATAATAATCTCTTAATACATTATTGTTCAATCGAAAAATAAACCTTGTATTACGATAGATAGCAGATATCAAGTGTTTCGTCGTTTCGTTTGCTTGCTCGTTTATTTTTTCCACAAAGATATTCGTATCTTCTGAAATCATGTAAACCTTTCCTCTGATATGACTTTGGCACACATAATCGCTATTTTCAAAGAGAGAAACACATTTGAGAATAAGATTCTTCTTATGATTAATTATCATAAAAATGTCCAACTCACTCTATGAACACATGGACCTGAACAACCCCATCCGCAGGCAACTTGAATATTCATTTCACGTGCATAAATTTCCAGCCTGTATTGGATAAGTAATGTTAATGGAAATTGTTCAATTTTTTACATTTGTCAAGTAATTTTGCTTGTTTTTCTTAATGATTATGCTGAATTGAAATTTTTTTGTATAACCCAAGAGATGAAAAGGAAGGGTAATTGAAATTTTAAGATAATTACTATAAACAATTGAAAATACTATTATCATACAAATAGTTGTTGAATTTTGATTACCCGTGTTTTTTTTTTTTGCGACAGTACCGCTTGTGATTTTTTACACGTTCACTACAAGCTTTAATTGTCTCTTTTTCGCAATTGACAACGTGACTTGTAGCTGATAAATCTATTTGATAGTGAGGGCAACGATGTTGATGAAAATTCCTAAAAAAATATACAACCAGTATCCCACAGTGCTCTCCAAGCGATTACGGAATTGGATCATTAATCGTACGTTTCATTTGTCTCATTGAGACTTTCCATCACGATAGATAGCTCGCTCGGGATGGTTCTGCCAGAAATTTGATGAATTTGGTTCGTTTGTATTTCTTCATTTGAATATTGGAATTGTAATTCCATCTGGCTATCTGCACTCACTTCCCCAGCTCTGGCCTCATTACTTATTAAACTTTTGGAATTATTTAATTTTTTAAATTGCTGCTCACCACGGTAGCTCATTGATGATTGCACTGTATAGGAATAAGATATTGGAATATTCTCTTGACTTTGTTTCATAATTTGTGAATATTGTCATGTATATGGAGATATAAACCTTCTTGTGATAAATTTTCGGCATTTTTCAAATTCATTACTTTATTATCAGTGATAGATGTTGGTCCTGTTTCAGAGATTGAAGGTTCTTTGCGATCTGACACATATTGCAGACCATTTCCGGTGTTATGCTGAGTTTCCTCTGTATGTGCATGTCTTGGTTGTATTATTTGTCCTTGTTTATTAGATGAATATCCACAAACTATCGAGCTTGTTGTGATGCTCTTAGGCTCACTAATACGAGTAGTGTAAGGTGAATGTTGTTTGAATTTTATATCTGCTGGTACTTGTAATAGAGGAGTAGTAAGCGTTAAATCCTCCTCGTTTTCAGTGCTGGTCTCATTGGATCCGGTGGTGGTTAGACTTTCGCGATATAGAGGCTTAATTCTCTTGGCCATTTTAACGACTCTATAGCTTGACAATAGATTAGAATTACGACAACTGGATATTTCTCCTTCATTATCTAGTGTTGATTTTCCACTGCCTAATTTTTCATCAATTTCTTCATCAACTTTGCTTTTTAATAGTGTAATTAATTTTTCATAACTATTTTCGGTTTTCGATTTTTTTATCATCATATTTGAGAGAGTGACTATAGACGATGGTGATGCATTGCCTATGTCGTCCATTTGTTTTCCACATAATTTCGACATAACTTCTCCAATATGTGATGAATACCTCTGAGCGTGGCTCTCAGATTTTATTGTTTTCAATACATACTCATTTTCAACTTTTAATGTTTTTGAATTTTCATCTTCGATCTTCATCATTTTCGATGAATTATTTTTTGGTGCAGTAGTGGTCTTGGAGAGTTCCAACGATGAATAATCTTCTTGATCCTTTTCATGACTATTCCTTCCATCAGAATTTTCAATATCTGTTAATTAATTAACAAATAATCATCAAAATATTTCTCAATTTTCTTCTCAATCTGCACTTGCCTGTATTATTTTTTTTTGAATTATTTTTTTCATTTATTCTGCCAAGATTCTGTGTACTTCTGGGTATGGTTCTATAAATATAGGGAGGATATGAATTAGGCATTACATAACATGATATATATATAAAAAAAAAAAATCAACAACAACAACAAAACATATATATTTCCTCTTGCTATCCTCTTGACTGATGGCATCAGAAGGCGTCAGTGACAACTTTTCAACTGATGATAAATTTTTTTTCAAGGCAGCATTAGAATACTCAAGTTGCTCACCGGCCATATCAAAACCATACATGGGACCTTGAGACGTATGAGATGATAATTTTTGTCATTTACATTTTTTCAATATTTTTGTTGATTTGTTAAATGTAGTGCTAGAATATCTAATGAAATCTATATAATATATATAATTTGTAGATTAGCCTGAAGATAACTGTGAATAATAATGCAACACATTGAAAATTTTAATAGAATCAATGATTTGGAATGATGAAATAAAATTTATGAATTTATCAATGGATCCTCGCATCTACTTTTAGAGCAATGAAAACCCAAGTTAAATACGACGAGTGTTTTTATAAATTCGTCGTTGTGCGCTCGAACCCTTTTCTTCAGGCACTTGGTCGCCAGAAGTCCTATCGATATCTGAGTCTACAATTATTGAAGTGGTAGTGCGTTGTAATGCAGAATCCTGTGGTCGCTCATAAATGTTATCTTGCATTCCATTAATGTGATGTAGTAGAGGAGGTTTTTCAGGATGATCACTACAATTACACCTGATATGACGAAACAAGTTACAATTAATATCTCGGTAGGGGAAAAAAAAAAAAAGATATTATTGTTGCAACTTACGATCCACAACAAGATCCACTTAATGCACCTCGTACAATTACAACAGATGCAGGACAGACTCCCGAGCATGGCATTTGATATTGTGGGCATAATATTGTCGACGGTAGACAAGGCCCAGTTGCCAAATACTGTTGTGGAGTCAAGTTGGATTCTTGGCGTGTATCTACTGATTCATAATCGACTGTGTATAGGGATTGTCAATGAAAATTACAAAAATGGCAAAACTCACCTGTACTTGTCGTTTGGATAATTGTTTCTTTCATTTGCGCCTTCATTGTCTTAAATTGAAAGTCAATAAATTTAATTATTAATAATTAAAATGAATGAAATTGATTCAGTACGTACTTGCGCTTCTCCAGGACTTGTTATTCTACAGTCAGTTTGAACTTGACCAACTGCCTGAATGGAAAGTGCTGGTACACTGCAAGGAGAATCAACATACTGGCGTCTTCGGGCAAAATTTATCTTTCTCGATTCATGCTCCATAGCTGTATCAATAGTTGGATCCACAAAACCTTGTCCACTTACACTCGTTGTTATTTCACATTTGCAAATCTTGAGGAGAATAAAAACAATCAAGGGAAATCATTGATTAAATAATTATTATATTCCAAGGGAAAATAATGTAGCTTACGTTGGCATCTGAAGAGGGAAATTCACAAGCCTTTGTAAATAATGTTCTTGTTGTTGGCTCCATTGATGCTGTTTTCATCATTAGTGGATGACATTTTTTCCATGACGAGTATTTTTTTTTCCAGTACCTTGGAAATGAGTTGTTATTATTATTATTATTATTATTATTATTTAATCAGAGATTTTACTACTTAAAAATACTTACAGAAGAACTGCTATCACTTCTATTGCATACAATAGACTAATGACGAAGCACAATGCCATGGTCATTAAAATAGCCCAAAATGACATATACGCTGTTACATAGTAAATTAATGAAATTCCGGCGATTGCAAAAAGAATCATTCCTGTCAAGCTGAAAATGTACATCTACAAAGCAATATAAAATATACCATTGTATACTTAGATATTGACTATTTATTAATATTATAATAATCTTTACCGGTGATTCTGGAACACCATCTCCGAAAAATTGATTCATTATATCCAATCCTTGGAAAAATAAGTGAGAGGAAGTAAGGCAGATTAGCAAAACACATGCTACATCTGTTAAATATCTCCTCGACATTGCTGTCAAGTAGATAGTCAATGAAAATACCACTAGCGTTGTCAACTGAAATATATTCAATTGCTCACATTCAATACCAATTTAATTGGACTTACTCACGAATTGAATTAATCGTAAGAATCGCGGCAAAACAGCAAGACTGGGTTCTGTATCAAATTTTGGTAATTCCATTTTTTTCCTTGAGATATCGTCTTCTGATTCTTTGTTCTCCAGAAATTTTTGTTTGCCTAAGAATTGTGTGTGAGTGTGTGTGTGTGTGGTGTGTGGGTGTGGGTATACGTGTTTATTTTACATTCTGATATTCTAGAGTTCACTTATTGATTGTATTTTTATTCGTGAAATTTACCTTTGGAAGTTATCTTATTTTTTGCTATTTGTACTAGTTATACATTGAATAATAAGTTTAATTTTTCTATACTATTATGACATACCAAATTATTTTTTTAATCAAGTGAAAAATAACTCAATTTGATGATGAGTATAGTCTTGACATGAGGTTTTGACAGACTGCTGTTCAATTGTTTGTTTGCCACTTTCAGAGTTCATAGATAGATCAGGATCTTCCATGTGTATAATGATAATTTAAATGATTCAAGGGATAATTATCAATAACTATATGATGACTAATTTAATCATAGTATGTGATAACTCGTCTTGTAGAATATCAAAACACAAATTTCTTCCAAAAAATAAATTGACAAATTTTGTAAATGGAAAAGGATATGGCTAATCAATTTTTATTGACAGTTGCTAGATTTATCGTTCAAAGTTTCTACAAATTCAGATTAAGTAATAAAATTAAATCTATGGCAATCATCGTTATTATTTATTATTAAAATATAGCGCACATTAAATTCATTGTTAGGAATAATGTTTTTTTAATGGACGGAATAGTCACGGGCTCCGTTGTTCATCATTAAGACACAATTTAAAAATTCTTCAATCTATGAGATACTGACATAAATTATAAAAAAATTATATGGAAATAAATATTCTCATTATTAGTGTGATGGAAGATCGATCCTTAGATCTGTATTTTTTATTATACTATATTAATTAAATACTAATGGACGGATTGAACATTATGAGTCATTTCAAACTTTGGATTACAGCATTGTGCATCTAAGCTACAAAACCATTTGTACAATTTTCGAGGATAAAATGTGTCCTAATTTGACATATTATATTATCAAGCCGATATGTCCGCGTCTAATCAATCAAACTAAGCTAAACTAAGCTGAATTACCAAATTGGGAATAATCATTCATTCATTAAGCTACGTCAATCTCATTGTAATCAATACATCAGCAGCAAAAATTATTGCATTGATGAAGGTGAATACAGCTCCAGATATCAACATATCGTTGTACTGTTTGCTTGAGTAAACGGCATTATTACTTTGGTAGTCGATATAACTACCCGTCATCCTTCGCCACTTGTGTACCATGACATTTGCTGCGACAATGTGAAGACATGCTCCCACGGCGGAGAACATTATTGACTGTAAACGGCAAACTCAAATCAGATGTCTTACTACTTGAAAAACAAACCTTTTACATGAAATATAAATGATTGAATATAATAAACCAAGGAATGTTAAAAATAATAATAATAAAGAAGCTGCATATATAAATACCCAACGAAATTTCAATTCAACTTTGTTTTTTTTTTTTTCTCTTTTTTCAATGCAACATTCATGTTACTCCATCACGTGGACACAAAATCTTCTAAATAAAAATAATTTTTTTTATATTAATGTATATGTTGTAAAGACGCCTTGCTGGGACGACAACCAATTAGCTTTTCGCTCCGCTGCTAGTGAGAGTCGGTGACTCACACAGCTGTGTAAATGTACACGGTCATACTTAGGGCGTAGTCTGAAGCTGCAATCTAGCCATACTCGATTTCCAAATTTTTTCATTTACTTTCATTGAATTTCATTAAGTGAATATCTAACATCATAATTGATTTTCAAAATTTCACTTAAATTACCTCAACATGATTTCATTCAATACATTCAGTTGTTCATAGTGATGGAGCAATTCCTTCAATTTTGTTTTTTTTTTTTTCAATTTCTTTCATATTCACGAAAGAAAATACAAAAAAAACGATTTTTCCTTACCGTTTTCTTTGGAATTCTATCGCCCAGAAAATATCCAATGATGAAAATCACATTGATGAGCAAGTATCCAGAAACGCTGATGTAAACAATTGCCACATCGTCAAGATTCCTCTTTGGTTGATTGAGTATTCTGAGATGAGAGTTGAATGGATCAACAATAAGTCCAATTATTAAAACGGCTAGAAGCTAAAAAAAAAAAGTTTTTTTAACAAGAAATTGGGAAAAAAAATCTACACACACCACTGCTCAGCATATATTAAATTGATATTATTTTTTGTGTACGTACAACTTGGGCGATTTTAGTGAGGACAGGAAGTGAATGTTTTTGCTCACGCTCCTTAATTACAGGTGCGGGTGGTAAAGATTCTTCAGCCATCCTGACTCTTTTAGGTTTTCCTCTACCGTCTCCCAGTTTGGCGGATTTTTCTTGAAATTAGATTGAAATAATAACTTGAACTGTCCGTTCGAGTGGAAAATTTTTCAGCGTTTTTTCTCAAGTTTAACGCTATGTTATTCAACTCGGAGCGTAAGAATTTAGGAAATTCACCGCTTCAAATACTCATAAATTTCACACGTTAATCACGAAAATAATAGTAAATATTCTCATTAGAACAATTGTTTACAAAAATTGAAAAGACCAAAAAGGAAAAGAAAAAAAAAGAGAATTTTATTACGAGATTGGTAAGCACCTAACCGTATCGTGCTGCAAGTTAAACTAGAACGCAGAGCGTGACACTGTGTCCCAACGTCAACAACGATCAAGTTGCATAGGCGGGGGGGGAGTAGGTGGTAGTACGGTATACTACTTTTGAAAGGCGAGTTTTTCCCCCACTTCGCCTCCCGGTTTTGTAATAAAACATGTATAGATGCGTACTATACGCAGCGTAGTAGGTACATAATAACGTGAGAGGTGTTGTCTTGGTAGAGGAAATTCTACATGACGCGTTTAATGAATCACTTTGATAGTAGTGGTAAATACGCGCTAATCCAGAAGCGATGCTTCGAAATCAACTCTATTGAATTGGAGAAAAATAGGTGACATTACAAGTTGAAAATGATGAATAATGACTAATATTACTATCCATCGATCTAACCCAGAAAGAAAGTATCCCAATAGGTAAAATTGGGCATCATGAAGCTAACGATCTTGAACTATAGTCTATAATAAAAATAATAGGCGGGACACGTTCAAGTTGAATTTTTTTTACCTCATCGCATATACGCTATAGCCAGCTGTACAGTGTAAATAGATTAGGTCAGCTTTATGCATGAAACATTAGAAGGAAACAAAAAAAGTTCAAAGTTGCAAGTTCTAATTGTTAGAACTAACAATGAACAGTATTCAATGACATAATAATCATTGATGCATGGAAACATTTTTTGTTATCATAAGATATGAGAATGTGTTTACCAATTTGCCGAGGGGTAGCAAATTAAATCATCTCGACTATCCACATGGTACATAGTGGGCGTCATATACCAGCAAGAGCTACTATGATGAACAGATCTCAGGTCATGCGGGTGAACTGGGGATTATCTTCTCCAATTTTTCCTTTCGAGGTCAGATTCCAACGCACCATCATCATCCGCCTTATTTTCCTCGATAAATGAGGTAATGAGGTCTTTTCTAATTGATCTAAGAATATTCTTACCGCCTCTTATTATTAGGCAATTTAAAATAATCATTGAGACAAGCAGTTGATTCAAACTTTATATGCATTGTGAAATAAATTTGTTCATTTAGTCAATTAGTCAATTTTTTGTTTCTTCAGATAATATTTTGACATGTTTATTATTATTTATTATTAACTTATACAATGAGAAAATGACATGATCATGTGATATAAAATGCTGCCTGAAGAATGAAAGATTTAAGACTAAATTGAAGAAATGATACTTAATCCATGTATTCCTCTTTGGCGAAGGCGTAAATGCTCAATAATGTGTCTAGGAGATATGCAGCGCCTTCCAATACGCAGAGAGATCCAAGAGCCAATCCAACCTTTTAATAATATACCATAAAGAGACAATGACAATTTACAAAATCATTCAATGCACAATTTTTACCTGTCTCTCAGTCGCTGCATAAATGTATTTGTTTGTAGCTTGATATCCATTCCAATAATGAAGAGCTGTTCCACCAACGGCAATAAACATGAACATGCCAACAAAATTCATGATAACCTCCTGAAAATGATGGAATAATTTGAGAGGATTTTAATTGAATTGCATTGTAAACCCCCAGAAAGAAAAAGAGAAAAAAATATGATAATAAAGTTACCACTAGAGTTTTCTTATGCTGCGTTGTCCCAAAGCAGTAACTGATGAGAACAACACTGGTATAAATGAAAAAACCAACCAAAACTCCAGAAGCGACAATCTCGGCATCTGCATTTTTTTCTTCATTCAAATTCCATGTTCCACCAACTCCGAGAAATTCACCCCCATTGCCAGTTCGATAGAGAATAATGCATATAAAATTGACAATCTGAAAATTGGTAAAAAATGAAGAAATAATCAAACGAACTCAATTTTTATGACGGGGAGAATAACATTCTATACACCATTATCACTCTACAAACACGTAGCTTTATCATACCACTGATACTAAACTGGCATGAATCACTGATTTCACATTATTTCAACAGGTTCAGATGATTTCACATTATATGATGTCAATATGAGTTTCGTTAATAGTTTCAACATTTCACTTTAAATTTTCAAACTTTCATTGAATGGCTTATTTATAGGAGAGAGATTTTGTCACGAAAGACATCATTGTAAAACTGTCATGAAATGTATTTGAGAGTTTTCAACATTATAAATTACCATGAAATAGTCCACCACCAATTTACCGCCAATCTCAAAACCGTATAACCATCTCAATTGATCAATTTCATATTAAATAATTCATTCAAGGATTTAATTTTCAATAAGATATTGTCACAAGTTTTTTTCTTACCAATTTGACAACCTTCAAAGCAATACCCCCAATTGTAAAGACAGATGTCATCTTGTGAAGGGAGGAAATTAAAAAAAAAATTATTGTATAAAAAAATAGCCTCAGGTGTATCCACGATGAGATCAGAATAAGTTGTACGCACGTTACAGTATCTGGTCAATGACGAGCCCAGCCCTTCTTATCTAATCAGATAACATATTTCGTAAAAGGGGGAGAAATTGTTGAAATAAATTTTGTTGAAATTAAATGAAGAATAAAATTATATTTTTTCTTTACAGGAATTGGGTTTAATGATAACACCCGAGCAAATCGCCGAAATGGAAGCACATGTTAATGACATTGATTTTGAAGCGGCTGCAACAGAAGAAAAAGCAACTCGGCACGATGTTATGGCTCATGTTCATGTTTTTGGAAAGCAATGCCCGAAAGCCGCACCAATAATACATCTTGGAGCTACCAGTTGTTATGTGGGAGATAATACAGTGAGCTTGAATAAACTATAATTCCTTTGTTTAGTCAATTTTATTAACAAATAAATATATATACATTTTTTTTTCTTTCTTTCAGGATCTCCTTATTCTTCGTAAAGGCTTTGACATCATCCTTCCAAAATTAATTGGTATTATATCGAGATTAACCAAGTTTGCTGAAGAATACCGATCGTTACCAACTCTTGGCTTTACTCATCTTCAACCGGCTCAACTAACGACAGTTGGTAAAAGAGCAACTCTCTGGTTGCATGATTTATTAATGGACGAGAGAGCACTCCGTCGTGCTAGGGATGATTTGAAATTCAGAGGTGTAAAGGGAACAACGGGAACTCAAGCCTCATTTCTACAACTTTTCAATGGTAAAAACCCTTTAACCCTTTTGTCATTGTCATAATCATTAAGCACACAATATGTCAATATTTTTTATTTTTTCATATTTCATAATGATAATTGAAGGCGATGGGGATAAAGTAAAGAAACTCGATGATCGTGTCACAAAGCTCGCTGGATTTGATAAACATTATGGAGTTACTGGCCAAACTTACAGTAGAAAAGTGGACGTCGAGTGTATAAATGTACTGGCATCTCTTGGAGCAACTGTTCATAAAGTAAATTATTCATTTCATTTCATTTGGTACAGCTATTCGACAAACAATCAAGGCAAATGACGAGAAATAATAATTAATGCATTTTTTTTCCATTCATCTTGCAGATATGCAGTGATATAAGGATATTAGCAAACATGAAAGAAATAGAAGAGCCATTTGAAGAGACCCAAATTGGTTCATCAGCGATGCCTTACAAAAGAAACCCAATGCGTTCCGAACGTTGTTGTAGTATTGCCAGACATTTGATGACTCTTGTAGGGAATAGTCTGCAAACTGCTGCCAATCAGTGGTTGGAGAGAACTTTGGATGACTCAGCAAATCGTAGAATAACACTAGCAGAAGCATTTCTCTCAGCAGATGTTATTTTAATGACTCTACATAACATCACCCAAGGATTGGTCGTCTATCCTAACGTTATTGCACGACATGTAGCTCAAGAGTTACCCTTCATGTCTGCTGAAAATATCATTATGGCAATGGTTAAAGCTGGTGGGGATCGTCAGGTATGCCATGAGAAGATTCGCGTTCTGTCGCATCAAGCTGGCGCTCAAGTTAAGCAATACGGTTTGGACAATGATCTCGTCCAACGAATCAAGAATGATCCTTATTTCAAACCCATACAACATCAACTCGACCAACTTTTGGAGCCATCAACCTTTGTTGGAAGATCACCGGATCAAGTTATTGAATTTATCCAACAAGAAGTTCAACCCGTTCTCCGTCTCTACGAGGGAATAGAACAACAATCCGTGGAGCTTTCCATCTGAAATAATTTCTTCACTCTACCCTTTCAATACAATATTTTTTCATCAATAAAATATTTTTATTCATTTTTCATTTTATTCTTTACATAATAATGACGATTTAATCAAATTTCACAATTACTCAACTATAGTTATTCCAGGTGTTTCGTGGTCAAATTTATGTACTGTGATAGATCCTATGGGTGGGAAATAATAACGAGAAATAATTATGTCAATTTTAAGCCAATGATAAATCATTTAGAGGGAGGAAACAAAATCACAGCCAAATGGATCTACAGTGAAGAATAAGAAAATTAAAGTAAGAAGAAGATTTAATTTTACAAGTACAGATATAGATAGAGGTGTATGACATATGTAGAGTAGAAGAAAATACAGAGGTAAACTGAGAAAAAGACAAGATCAATTGAAGAATGTGCAGCAGTGGTAATAAAGTAAGAAAATAGAGAAGAAAAAAAATTTGGTAATTAGGAAAATGAAATATGAGAAGATGGTTGAAATTTGAGATAAAAAGAGATAGAGTGGACAAATATTAAGTTGGAAAATATACTTTGGAACAGAATGAAACAAAGTTTTTAGAATGAAAGAGATATGAGCAAAGGGCAGATTATAATACAGGTGGTATAATTGTGTTGAAAATAATACTGTTGGGTAGTCACCAAATTATAATGAAAAAAAGTGAATGAAAAGAGTATAGAAGTTTGAGAAAAAATGGATTAAAAAAAAAAGAGAAATCCACGAGGAAAGAGGAGCAATCAGAAGATGTGTTTTAAGTAGGAAAAAAATTAATAGTCGCAGCTCGGGTGATGATAGATAAATAATTGACTACTGTAGAGATAATTTCAAAAAGGGTAAGAATAAAAAAAAAAGTGAGAAAATAAAGTACAGTTTACAGAGGAGAAAGTAGGAACAAGGTCGTAGAAAGTTGGAGAAAGGAAAATGAAAAGATAGGAATAACGAGATAATGTAAGTATGTAGACAGAGAGAAAGAGACAGAGTATAGAAAGGTGGAGAAATGAGAGAAAATAAGAAGAGAGAGAGAGAGAGAGAGAGAGAGAGAGAGAGAGAGAGAGAGAGAGAGAGAGAGAGAGAGAGA